TATTTATAAATATTCTTTGGCATGATACTTCTGTTTTTGCCCACTTTATTTATCCGGCCAATTGCATACGTCGGTTCCGGCACACATCAACCAACTTTTTCCTATACAGGTTATGTCAATACAGAGTATACATCACTCTTAATGATGGTTGCACCGAGCACAAATGTAAAGACTCAGCCTGGAGTTGTGGGAGGGGCATGTGGGACCTACATAAGGGAATCCCCCCTTACTTGCTCTACCGTAATAGGCGTGATGATCTGCAAGTATGTGCCACCCTCCACTTCCTTTAATATTAACTGTTTTGTTTGTTTTTTCACTCTACTTATTATACTCCTTCCTATTACATGACTGCCCTGCTAGGTAAAGGTCAATGGCAGACAGGGTGCGTTCGATCTTCTCCCTGGGGAGGCTAGCCTGCATGTGTACAGAGTCCACCACCACCCCCAAGAAGTTGATGACCATATCGGGACCTTCAGTCTTAGTCGGTGAAATAGGTATTCCTAGTTGTGTGAACAGTCGTGTAGTAGCAACTGGGAGGTAACAGGTTACTTTCTATGGAAAGAAAATCATCCAGGTAATGAATAATGGTGGTGCATCTACAGGTTTTAAGCAGTATCCAACACAACGTCTCGGCAAACATATAAAAAATTCTTGGACTGCTCTTGGAACCGAATGTGAGAAGCGTGAAAAAAATAATATGCCCCTTGCAATTTAACACCATGTAAATGCCACAGGGATGGATGAATAGGAAGTAGCTTAAACACATTCACTATGTCTGTTTTGCTAAGCCATGCACCTACCCCCAATGAGAGGATGGCCGTGATGGCATTATCTATGGTTGCGTATTGTAGAGAAAATTCTTCTGATGGAATGAGTGAGTTAAGACTTGGGGTAGGTGATGCATGGGGAGCAGAGAGGTCAAGAATCAACCTTTTCTTATTGGAGGATTTACCCGTGACCAGATCTATGGGGTTAGTTCTTCATACTGTGAAAGGTGCAGAATAGAAAGGGCCAATTACAAACCCTTGGTCAATTTCTTTCTGGAGTAGTCAGTCAATAGCATCAGGATCTGCCAGGGCAGGGCATTCTAAGACCCCTGTAGGCATACGGATAATACCCGTGTGAAATCCCAAAGTGAAACCTGTCACCAAAAATTCCACTAGATGTTGAGATGGGTGACCCCACAATAAATCTTTCAGCAGTGAAACATTAAGAAACGAAAGGTACTGCTTGGGGTATAATTTATTTGGACACATTACTTTAGAGTGAGCCCGGAAACATTGGGAGCAGACATGAAGTAGCCTGCAGGCACTGTAACCGCAAGTGCCAGTATTAAAGTTATTACATACTTGTGACTTTCCCAGAAACACTATATCGTGGCCCAGTTTATCCTTAAGGATCTTGCCTGATCTCCCTGTGGGTGTCATGTTGGGGTATTAGGGCACAAATTCGCCATGTGAGAGTTGGAGGCACAAATGGCACAAGCTGGCGTCTTTAGGCCCACAAAGTGTCGACAAAAAAGCTCCGTATCCAGCACACTCCAGTCAGCTTGATAATTAAACTGGGATAGAGCCGCCGACGCCTTTGCAGAGAAAGCACGGTGGTAGTTGTAAAAAGAAGTACCACCGTACTTGTGCCCCAAATCCACCAGCTTGTGGAGGTAGAGATCCAGTTCTTCCCTCCTGTAGGGATACACTGAGCATAATACGTCCCTGTAGATTCCGAAAGCCAATACGAATTGGACCAGGTAAGTGTTACCAAAGTTTTCAGAATAGAAAATGGCGATTTGCACGGACCGGAAGTTAGGGTATGCAAATCTCCAGACCTGAGACGGTAGTGAGTGCAGGGCTGGTGCTCCTTAAGAGGGGGAACCAAGCCCCTCCCACAACTTCAGGCACTGCCTTCCATATATATATATATATATATATATCTATATAAATATATATATTATATTAACATTAATACATACTATTCAGCATTCATCTTCATCCATTTTGGTTCCACCCTCTTTCTTATTTCAACAGATCTAAATGTAGTCGAAGGGTACTTTTACAATTGAATAGAATGCTTAAAATATACTTTCACTTAGCTTAAAAAAAACAAAGCTATTGAATATAAGGAAGTTATTAAATTAAAGACACTCCTATCCACACTGACTTATTCAATTAAAGACACTGCTGTCCACGGGAACCATCTATTTTCCACTACTGAACTTTCTCCTGATTGAAAATATTATATAGCCATATTATGTTGATCTTTAAGCTGAAGAAGAACCCATTAGGGACATTTTGTTGTAGCCAGTATCTTGATAAAACTATTGGAACATTTATTATTGTTTATTAAAGTTTTTCCTGCCTTGGAAATTGACATACTCTAAAATAGAAAATAAAAATGTCAAAAATGTTTCCAAACATTCACTTAATGATGCAAAATACTGTGGATTTCTGCTCATTCACCTGGAAAAAAAAGCAAACCAGAATCTACCCAGATGTTTGACAAATATCTAAATGTAAAAAAATTGTTTAAACAATTTGAAAAGAGTAGGGGTACAGTGAGTGGGGTGCCCAAAACAAGCCAATCACTGTGCCTTCAAGGAATATTAAAGGTGAGAGAGGCCTTTACAAAAAGCTTTTCTCAGCTAGAATTTTCACGGCCCTCCATCCAATCATGGTACAGGGTGAAGAGTGCTTTCCTTTTTTTGTTTGGCACAAGTATCTTTTCTGTTGACATTTCTGAGACTCAGGAAGTTCTTAATTGTATTGTAGTTGTGTTGGGACATGGACCTTTTTTGTCCATCTTTTTGACTATAGAAAGAAGATTAAAAAAGATGTTCAATTAAGACTGTGTGTTCCAAGGAAGAAATACTGTCAGGTACTAGGTCCTAAGACTAATAAAATAATCAAAGAAATCTGGGAAACACTGTGACCATACTTGATCTGCTGAGAAAAAATGATTGGAAGACCTCTTGGTTGTTCTAACTTGTTGAGCCACATGGGACTGGCCCTTGTAAATTCTGCTGTTTGGACTACAAGTCAATATGCATAATGTCAGTTCCAAATTAAAATAAAGGAACACATGGGGTTGTTCACTAAAGTGAGAATTTCTGGGAATGTTAAAGGGACTCTCCAGTGCCAGGAAATCATATCTGTTTTCCTGGCACTGCAAGACACTGCAGTGCACCTCTCCCTCCCACCCCCCATCCCATGTTGCTGAAGGGGACCCTCAATGCTGGATCAGGCTCCATCACCACCAATGTCAGCAGGGGGAAGACGTAATGTGCATGTGCGACAATGGCCACGCGTGCGCATTAGACCTCCCTATAGGAAAGTAGGATCCAATGCTTTCCTATGGGGATTCTGGCAACGCTGGAGGTCCTCATGCATTGTGTGAGGACATCCAGCGTCATTTAAAACACTTTTCATGTTCTAAGAAATAGGGGGGACAAAATAGTCTATAATGGATAAAATCACCAACCCACTCTATTGGTTTAAAATACTGAACTCCCTTTACACTTCACAACTTTATTATCACCAATGGTGTCTTTTGTACTTTCAGCAGACATGGGATTTTACACTACAGATTATGCCCTTGATTTCACGTAAAATTGAGTTTATTATTTTATGATGTCATTTCTTTTAAGGCCAATGTGCACCTGGTTATGCGAAGCTTGGTTAAATATTAATGTTATCGCTATACTATAAAGCAGATTGGGGACATACTGATATGAAGAATCAGCTGATGTGTCAATTTAAAGCCTTTTGTTGGCAAAACTAGTAAATGTGACATTTGAAGGTTTACAGAAATGTTGTTTATAAACTGGTTCACCATAATAAAACACATTGCAGCAGGAAGAAGACTTTTGGAGTCAGTTAAACAATAACACTGTTCAATCATTTGTAAAGTTGTAATTGTGTTTGGGGACCAAGACCGTATTTGTCTCAACTACCTAAGACGAAGCTGGTTGGAGTGTCCCGGAAACGACGGTCAGGTTAGGCCTGTAAATAAAGAGAGCAAAAGATTAAATGTAAATTATACTTTACAGAATAACAATTACCAATCTACAAACCAGAGTGTTACAAACGTCTGTACATAAATGAAGGATATGTTGCATAAACCATTGAATTAAAGGAAACCTCTAACATGTTTAGGAATGCTGTGTTAGGAGGCATGAAAGCCAAAGTCAAGGGTAAGATGACAATTTAAGAAATCAAGAGATAGATTATAGACAAAGCCTTTAAGAGGTGTAGACTAAAGTGGCCAATGGACAAATGGCAAATGACAATTGAAAAGGTATGTGTTAAGCTATATTCAAAGGTGGGACGTTCAGAAAAAAAATTCAAACCACAGAAAACAATCCCAAATTAAAGAACACGTGACCTCTGTGATAAGCGGTGCTCGGAAAACAAGTTTCAGATATTGGTAAGTGCTTGACTTCTGTAATAGGGGCGACTGCGCAACCAAAATCTAATGTGACCACTTTGAAAGAGGGAGCTCAGTGACGAAAAAACTATTAGATGAGTGCGTGAACTCTGTGAAGAGAGAAAGCTTGGCAACCAAATTACTAATTTGCTAAGCGAGTGACCCCTGTGATTAGAGGAAGCTTAGTAACAAATGTAAATTTGAAGGGGGGCGGTGCCGGAACCGCCATGCCGAGAGGTAACATACATGGCGAGCTCCTGCAGATCAACGAAATTAAAGCCTACAAAAAGCTAAGAACTCACCCAACTACAGTCTGAAAGCAACGGTCCTGCGGGCAAAGAGGAGTTAGTGCTGAGAAAACATATGTACCGACTCCTGAGAGGGCACTTCGGCACAGCTGCACCTGAGGCCTACCCGGGTGGTGAGTAGGGTGGATGGCCGCCGCCTTGCTATCCTGCCCTGTGGTTTCCCTCAGGAACTCTGATGCCACTCAGTAAAGACTTCGTTACCCCCCGGACTGGTGGGGGTTATCCCAGTCCCAGGGCCCCGGCCCCGGGCCTGGGGGAGCCCCAGCTACCAAAATGGCGGGCGAATCCGAAATGGTGGCACAGCCAGGAACCATCAAAGCACAACAGATCGGAACTCCTGATGCAGCACTGCCGGTGGAAAAGCAGAGGGACTCCCCTCAGAAGCCAAGCCACTGTTCAACCTACCAGTGCGGAAGACACCCCACCCCTGCCGCAACAAGCAACCAGATCCCGCTATCCAGTCCCTCACCACACAAAGCCACGAACCCTGCCGAACCACAAGACACCCCTGCACGCCTGCAGCCTTCTGAGGAAAATCGGGCAGAAACGAGTGACCACACACTGGGAGAGCAACTACACCTTCCACCAAACACCACGCTGGACTCAATCCTATCATGCTAAAGGCTATACAAATTGGGGGTTGGGTAAGCCTGGACTGTACAGGGACTCTCTGGGGGCCTGGGCTGCACATAGTGAGGAAGCTTCCTGTAAATCCTGTCACCTAAGCTACTTGTCACACTCTCGTTCTACAACCTTTTATGATAATCCTATACGCATACCTAACCTGATAGCAAGTTATTCACAGCATAGCATAGCTTGACTATTGATTGCATGTTTAACCCTTTTGATTGATTCATCATTTTCATCACCTGAACTAACTACTCATGATTACTCTTACTCTTAATATCATAAAATTGTGCATTTCTAACTCGTCACCCCATGTGTAACATGTTATATCCGATTTGAGGATTGCCGTTGGAGTACCTCGAAACTGTGTGTTATCATCTTTTATGCACGGCAAAAATACAAAATTAAAAAATTACAAAAGTTAAATAAAAATGTGAATTTGAATGCGCGCGCATCCTCTCATCCTCTCATTCTAGGAGAGGTTCGGAACAAGTAAATTTTAGGAGCGCGTGTCCTCTATGACTGAGAACCCGACGAATACCAAATTTGATAAACACATAACCTCAGTGATAGAGGAAGCTTAGTAACAAATACGAATGAATGCATTTTTTTGATGAAAGAGAAGCTCAGCAACCAGATGACAATTTGAGGAGCACCTGACCTATTGTGGAAGATAAATCAGTAACTAACATGAACTTAATGACTTAGTGACTAAAGTGACTTAGTGACTAAAGCCAATTCAATGATTGGGTGAACTTGCGATAGAAAAAGCTCAGAAAGAAATATGAAATGGATGAGTATGTACATGAGAAGTATGCTGGATAACCAAATGCAAAATAAATACATTTTATGATGGCAATCAGGTGTTAACACATTTTCCATATCTTGATTATTTCCTTCTTTGGTTTATCTATTTTGCTTTTGCTATGGCAGTTACTTTGTTTAGAGTACATCTTTCACTATTTGTTTAGTTTATGTTTAGAAGAGTAACATTGTAATTGTATTGCATAATATGTGTCTCCAGGGATTTGCTTAACAATGATAGCATTCGTACTCTTTGTAAAATAAAAAATACATACTACTTTTACTTTTAATGTGTTGCTTTTCTTCCCCCCCTTTTGTTAATCTTCTAGTAAATGGGCTTTGTGTGTACTTACATTAAATCTGACTGTTACAACTGACATTGTAATAATTGTATTACTTATCTGCGGTAGACGAAACACAATCACGTGAAATTATTTTTACCCAAACCTTCCAGGAAGCTCGAACCAGGTTTATATTGCTTCGTGCTTGCTAAGTAAAGATCTCAATCGCTTAATTACTGTTGTGTAGTATATCAGAGCTTGTGTAAAACCATTAACCAACTAAACTTTAGTAATTAGTACCGTCTGAGTGTGCGGTTGTTAATGTCATCCCTTGTTTTTCAGTTGAACCCTGTAACTAGTGAAATCGTTAATCTGTCACCAACAAAAACAAAGGTTTCTCGGCAATCTTATTCAAAAGATGACATTGCAGTCTAATTGTTATTGTCAAAGCCAATACATGACGTTATCTTAATGTTTGCTTGTTTTTATATTATGTTTGCAAGGCCTGTGAGTTGGGCCTTGCCTGAAAGAAATCCCAGGTCACCTACAGTAAACACTATGTCCCAATAGCATCAACAAGTTAAATATTTAATGTAAACCCTGCTTTTACAGGGCTTATTAGTCACCGGTGTTCATAGAGGCCATTCAAACATGAGACATCAGCGATAGAATTACCAGCTCGAGAGATCATGTTTTTGCAAATTATCACAGAATCTAGAGGATGTATTCACTTTCAGCTGTTAGAATGTGTGTTGACTGACACTTGCTGTGTTTTGTAGCTGGAAAAGGTAGGATGATGAGAGTCATAACAGCTAATAGCTAGAGATATGAATTATGCTACATCTGGCCTAACGCCCAGTCTGGCAGCTCGGGAGTGATTGATTGATAACAAGTATCTGAGATTCCTGATTTGATCTTCTGCAGAAAAACAATGATTCACCTGTGCATGCCTCAGACAATGAGAAAAAGTAGACAAAGATAAAGTGATGTATAAATAGACAGAAAAGCAAAAGTATAGGTAGACAAAAAAAACAAAGTGATAAGATCTGGCCTCCAAACAGTTCGATTTTGGAGGGACAGTCTTTATTTTGAGATCTGGTGCAAACATCCAAACTTTGTCCTCTGGTATCCTGGTTTTGAGGACACCAGGGAAGAGTCCCCAGAAAGTGTAGCACATTGTTAGATCCGCTCACTCTAATCAAAGTCTTCTAGGAACCTGCAGAGGGCAATTAAACCGCACTCTATGTATGGTCCACAGAGGCTGGCCTGTGTGATTGGCAGGCAGCCTGGTGTGCAATCATGCCAGTCTAACTGCCCATTCTTCTGGTGGACTGCCCCCCTTAGGGCACCACCAGTAATGCCCACCCACACCCTTTTTTCCCATGCCACCAGCGTCCAGCTTTACGCTATGACAATGTTGGGGGATATGAGTAAGTAGATGGCGGACAGGTAGTTTATACATACAGGCAGACAAAAAGAGATATGAGAATATACAGAAACATAAACAGACATGTAGATAGATACATAGACAGGCTTAAACAGACAGCAAGAAAAAAGGCAGATGAACAGATAGAGATTAATTTACAGAAATACAGAAATAAATACATAGATAGGCATAGATATCTATTGTGTTTTTATACCCTCCCTCCTCTAGATTGTACGCCTGTTTGAGCAGGGTCCTCATCAACCTGTTGTTCATGTAGTTTTTGTAATCGTCTCAGTTATTGTTAAATTTCTCCCTTTATAATATTGTAAAGCACCTTGGAAAAAGTTGACTTTATATAAAAGCCAATTATAATTAATAATATACAATTAGATAGACACGGACAGACAGGTAGACATACACTGTGTCTGTGTCTGCAAGGGTCATTGTCAAATAGACAGACAAAGACCGAGGTAGGCAGACAGATAGTGACATTGATAAATATGAAAGTAAAATGCTATTTTTATCCTGTTGCTTCAAGGGATTTCTATGTTTGTCCTGCGATTTCTTTCTGGTCTCAAATATGTCCCAAAACACATACCGAGCTCGACGTTAAGAACATCTTATCTGCAGATCTGTGCAATCTATCACAAAACAGTAATTCACCTACAAGAAAAAAAAACATTAAAGTCTCTGATTGCAACATATCTGTCATAACTTGCTTGCAGATATAATACAATTCTTAATCAACACCTGCTATGAACTGTATGTTTTTTTTTTTTTTTAGTAATGTTTTTCCCCATGGCCTATTGAAAGCAACAATTTTACCTGATGTATCACTGTCTGCCAAGTTCATCTTAACAACATAATCAGGGCCGGTGCAAGGATTTTTGCCACCCTAAGCAAAATAAAAATGTGCCGCCCCCCCACCCTCCGATGTGGCATCACAATGCCCACCCATATGATCTGCCATATGAACTAACGCCAGTGCTGCACACAGTGTGTGTTTACATTAAAAAGCCTGCAGGGACAGGCTATAGACACGAGAACCACTTCATGAAGCAGCAGTGGTTCTGGGGACTATAGTGTCCCTTTAATGTGAGGTAAATTAGAGATTAGTGCCACGAATAATATACTAGATTGCCTACTTACAACCAGATGAGGATGGTGATGGGCTCTGGCTGCAGTTTGGCTCCACTGGTCTGGTGTAGAACAGGATATCTGGAGGCTGTTTGTAAGTGTGATCACAAAATTCGATGTTCTGGGAGAATTGGAAGCAGCTCCATTTTTTGGGGGCCCCTTACACAGCTCAAGGTCAGTGAGCTTTTCTGCAGTGAGCACATGTGTGTCAGTGAGTTTGTCTGTAGTGAGCATGTGTGTCAGTGAGCTTTTCTGTAGTGAGCATCTGTGTGTGTCAGTGAGTTTGTTCTGACCATGTGTGTGTCATTGAGCTTATCTGTAGTGATCTTGCGTGTATGTGTCATTGAGCCTGTCAGTAGTGAGCTTGTGTGTCTCAGTGAGCTTTTCTGTAGTGAGCACGTGTGTGTCAGTGAGTTTGTCTGTAGTGAGCATGTGTGTCAGTGAGCTTTTCTGTAGTGAGCACATGTGTGTCAGTGAGTTTGTCTGTAGTGAGCATGTGTGTCAGTGAGCTTTTCTGTAGTGAGCATCTGTGTGTGTCAGTGAGTTTGTTCTGACCATGTGTGTGTCATTGAGCTTATCTGTAGTGAGCTTGTCTGTAGTAAGCATGTGTGTCAGTGAGCTTCTATGTAGTAAGTATGTTTATTTGTGACAGTGAGCTTGTGTGTAGTGAGCATCTGTGTGTCAGTGAGCTTTTCTGTAGTTAGCATGTGTGTGTGTGTTTCAGTGAGCTTGTCTGTAAGGAGCATGTGTGTCAATAAACTTGTCTGTAGTGAGCATGTGTGTACTAGTAAGCTTGTCTGTGTGTGTCAGTGAGATTGTCTGTCAGTGAACCTATTTGTGTGTATCAGTGAGCTTGTGTTTTTATGCCAATGAACATATGTGTATCAATGAGATTGTCTGTCTGTGAGCCTGTGTATCAATGAGCTTGTGAGCTTGTGTCAGTGAGATTGTCTGTGTCTGCATGTGAGTATGCTTACTCTATAATTGCATTTTTTACAATGACAACCAATATTTTGAATCAGAAAAAGAAATATACCAATAATATATATATATATATATGTATATACACTGTCACGGGTGGCGGTACGGAAACCGGGACCCCTGAGTGCCTGATGATAAGTGGGAGTCTTCAGCGTGGAAGAGGATTATCAGAGCCTGGTGCAGCGTAACCACACGCCCCTTAGTGTTAAGCACCAGTGTTTGTGCAGCGACATACCAGAACCCTGATGCAGCTACTGCGGATCCCACAAGCTCACTGCTGACAGGCTCACTGACACATACACACAAGATCACTCCAGATAGGTTCAATGACATACACATGGTCAGAACAAACTCACTGACACACA